CTACGGCCCCTCGTAACGGAGAACCACCAACGGCTCACCGGCAGCGATGGGAGCGATGACCCTGTTTGCAGTGCATGCTTGGAGCAACTCACGCTAAGTGGTGGAAACTGGGGCCGCAACAACTGCCACTGCCAGCAGCACTGATAGTGGCCATTCCCACAAATGGCTTACTACCCCGGCGTTCAATCCGACATCGTAGCTGCTCGCTGAGTCCAGTCCCAGACTGGTCATGGATGCAGAATCTGTTGAAGCTATCTTTGATCTTGAACCCTCAACCCCAAGCCCCCATGCCATAGACCCTGAACCCAAACTTCTACATGATAAAATCATGAACCCATAGACCCGCGGCACGCCTGCCCAGCTGGGCCTCCAGCCCCAATTCCGTGGGAAGCAGAGACAGGTCCTTGCCTGGTGCGATCGCAGGGAACTTCTTGAAACCCCAAATCCCCAAACCCCCGAACGAACCCCTAAACCCCTAGAGCCCATAGACCCTGAACCCTTACGACTTAAAACCTAGTGAGGGGCGAGGGTTTGGGAGCTGCTCCAGGAGCCTTGTTCACTTTGGACATGGCAGTGCGGCCATCAGTGGACTTCGATATTGGGCTGCAGCACTCTCTCTATACACAGTGCCAACCAACATGCTGATCTCTTGCTAGCCTTCAATGTCGAACTTCAAGTTTAGCCTTTTTGAACCATCAGTAGCGGTGTCCCCTTGCAGTCTCATACAAAGACTATAACTTCCATAACTGTACACCAAGAAATGCTTTGCCTGTGTTAATTGTTAAGAGTTCTAGCTAAAGCCCGAAGAGTCGTGTTGAACCCTGACCCGATGGCCTGAAAGCTCCTTAAACTGAAGGCGTTCGAAGAAGCCGAGCTTGTTCTTCAGAGTGAGGGCATAGACAGTCCTCCGCTGGATTGCTTTTTGGGTTCAACGCTCGAGTGCGGCCCAAAACGACAAATCCTGCACTCTAACCCCCAAAAACACACGAAAGCCCAGACCACAACCCCTGAACCCAATGCCGAGTTTGACAAAACAAAAGCGCATCAGGATGCTACTCGTAGTTTGTGGCACAATTGGGGTTCAAGGGTTCAGGGTAAGTAAACACCCTGCAAACTCAAACCCTGGCTTGAGGGTTTAGAGACCCAAAACCCAAGGGTTTCTAGAAGCCCAGATCTCCTCTTCCTGGGCTCGTCAGATCTTCCAAGCAGTGCCCGAACTAGGCGGGATCCGACCCCTTGACCTCGAGCTTCAGCTTTGACCTCAACGGTCTTACGAATTCAGGCTTCCTCCAAGGGTTGCTATAAGGGTACGATGACTCATGATTTATAAGTTTAGGGTTGAGGGCTGGGGCTAGTAGGGTCGATTGGCTTCGGGTTTAGGGTTCAGTGCTTTTGGGATTAGGGTTTGGGGGTGACGGTTTAGGGATTGAGGCCTGGGATTGACGCTTCAGGTTTTCAACTGACACTTGACGTTTGGGAAACGGAGCTTCTTCATCCCTGCATAAAGCCTCGATATTCGTCTGTAGGATTTAATGTAGTGTAGTTTTCAGGGCTAGTCTATTATGTAGTTCTTGCATCACAGCCCTTTATGGGTGTTTAGGCCTGAAGGGTTCAGCACGTTTGAGGATTAGGGTTTGGGGTTCTGATAGTCACGATTTCATCATTCTGGCTTTCAGGAGCTCTCTGTCTTGCAGCACAGTCTGCAGCATGTAGCCAGTCTAGAGCATCCCGTAATAGGCCCGAAGCCGAAACTCCAGAGTCCCTAAACTCAAGTTTTCGAAGGCCTGCTTGAAGCTGAAGCAGTGGGGCGCTGCCGGGGGCCCGGGCGTAGAGAGAAGCCAGCAAGAACGGAGCAGGCTCCTCGCCCTGGTTCAGATGAGCGGAGTGGGGTTGTACTGAGTCCTTGATGGGGTTCAGCGGGCTCTGGGTTCCAGCATGTTTGGGCTTAGGTACGACCACAGCAACACAACGTTCTTCGTGCACCTGTCACCCACGAAGGTTTGCTACTTGCACAAGCCTTCATGTTGCGACCTGGCTTTGTAGCTTCCCGGCAAAGGATTTAGGACCACCCGGACATAAACTTATCAAACTTGCACTAGCTACAACCAACCGTACCAAACCCATACGAGTCCTCCACATAAAAGACGTCACTTCACTAAACCTAGGTTACCCCGTAATCCGATGACACAGGTGCAGAAACACAGGTACCCCTTTCTTCATACTGTGTGCAGTTTCGGGAAGGAAGCCTTCTACAGTTTACAGTGCAGATATAAGGGTCCAGCTGGTGGACGTGTAGAAAGCAGCCAAGCACAAGCCTGTGAGTCTGAAGGCCCCAGTCGCCGCAGTTGCGCGAAACCCAAGCGGCCATCGCCGGGCGCATCGTCCTGTGCAAAAGGTCTGGTGCTTTTGAGGGCTTTCCAAATGATCTGTAGTCAGCTCAGACAGCACATGATGCTGCTGATGATGGCGATGATTAGAATTATAGCTTGGCATTCCTGGGAAAGCAAGTCCCGGGAAAGCACAGGGCATTGGTCGCCTCCGCCACGAGGAAGTTCTCTGCCTGCAGCCCGAAAGGGCTCATGACCATCGACGCAATCGTCAGTGCAATCCTGAGCCACGCTGGAAACTCAAGCTTCAATTACGGCTTCCTCAACCCGAAACCTATCTAAACCTGAAGCCCAAGTAAGACCCTAAAACCGATACTCCGTTGCGCCTTAGCGTGTTCCCCGACGAATCAGGAATGCGGTTTCCGTTTGGCTTTACTCAATGCCCATAGAGTCAACTTCACTCTGAAAGAGGAAGCTGTCGGGGATGTAGAAGGAAAAGCCAGGGTTTGGCGGTTTAGGGCCTAGGGTTGAGGGTCTGCAGCTCCACAGGCATGGAAATGCAGAACCAATGACCCCGACATGTCCAGAAAACGACATTTGCACACAGGCAAAGGACAGGATTCTCGTCGGTTATCGCTGTGCTTCAAGATTTCGCTCGTTCGTACCGACGAGCCACCACGGCATGTCGCCTGCTGTAGCCGGGCGGAGCCTGAGACGCCCCAAACCCGAAAGTCGTGAAATGGCACAGAATTATCCAGGTGCCTGGGTAATCCGAACAGGAGACATGCCAACGGATAGACTCTGAGCAGGTGCGAAGCCTTTGAGCCCAACATACTTTCAGGTGAGCAGGGGAACTCGGACCAGGAACATGGCCCTGGAAAAGTGCGAGATGCCTGAGCGTAAACGGGTCTATGAACAGCAGGTCTGCTACCCGAAAGCAGGATCCCAGCATTATGATCCCCACTCCCGGATGCGATTGGTTCGTCTTCGTCTATGTTGCACTGCGCTGCACGGGTGCTTTACAATCTGGTGTGTCCTCCAAGCACGCTCAGGTTACACGGTTACATCACGAAGCGGTAGCATATGAAGATGTACTGCGGAGAGCGCATGTTCTGCACTGGAGGACGCAAATTGAAAAACAAGACAAACAACAAACGTAACACAGGATGTAAAGTGCGTAGTACATGGGTTTAGAAGATTCATACTCGAATAACGTGTACAGTTCGTGCGTCAGGATACCGATGCTCCAAGTGCTTGCCAGCTACTGCAATACTTTCATTGCTCATTCTGTTATTTCAGGCTGCTTGGTGTAAACTCCCAAATCCCAACCCTACTCACCCCAAACCCGTAGACGATACATCCTAAACCCCCAAGCCCCTGACACCACAAACCCTGTATTCGCTGAAAAACCTAAACCCTAAACCCCAAACCCTGCATCCCAAAAATGCTACCGCGCAGTCTGAAATGCCAGGCCTTGGCACAGCGGTCGACACCTGAGGGAAGGAACCACCAGACCACCTCCCGGTTCAGAGGCTTTGGGGGTCTACTTCCTGAGTCCCAAACCAAGGACCCCCAAAACCCAACACCGACAACCCCAGAGCTTTTATGTTTAGGGTGCCTTCTGATATCTCCGAACCGGTTGATCTGACAGCCAATGAAGGCAGGCTGGCATCCCGGATTCTTGAGCTAGCAGCTAGGCCGTCTCAACTAACAACAGTAAGCTATTACTATGACTGTTGTTATTGCTGTTATTACGATTACGGCTACCAATTATTAACAATTGCTGTTGAAAACAATCATGGGGACATCATGAGCAGCGAGCCGGTGTTTAAACAATTGATGGACATCCTCGGCATGCCGAAAGAGCTTCTCTAAAGGACGTCTTAAGGTTTAGAACAGGGGCTTTTTCCCAGAAAGGCCAGCATCTAAGGTAAATCTTGCTAGAACACCACAGGATTACTGAACTCCAGATGACTTACAAGCTCCCTGAGGACGCGGTGTTGAGCTGTGGGTCCAGACAGAAAGCACAAGCAGCCAATCCGAACCCTTCAAATCCCTAAACCCTAAACCCTAAACCCTAATGGGCACTGCCTGCCTCCGGCTCGCCGCTGGTGACGCCACGCAGGGGCAGTCTGCTCCGATGCGTCATGGTAAGGCCGCCTCTTAGGTTCTGAGATTCAAGCAATTGGGCTTTAGGGCTCTGGGAGGTGTCAGGCTTTGAGGGTTCAGGGTTTCTTTGCGTCAAATGCAGGGGTTTCTATAGATACGGTGTTGGGGGTTTGGGGTTCTTGGGCTTGGGGTTTCGGATTGCACATCAAGCTGGCGTCTGAAGCGATCCGGGACCGAACAGAAAGGAACATCGTTGATGTACGCTCCTGGCTGACAAAATTAATGGCTCACGATCAGCACCCTTACGATCATCCCAATTATCCAGGGGTGGGTATTCAGCTTGTAATCTACATGTACGAGGACCCCGAGTACCCTGGCCGGAAAAAAAAACAATCGCAGTTCTCTACATCTATACACTGGCACAACATGACTCCTATCATCGGGAGCCTAAAGGCATCTTGAATAGTGAATTTGATGTCCTCTCGAGCCTTGAGGCCCAAGCTGTAAACGGTGAGCCCGAAAGAACGAACTCGACATCGTCACGCCCCGCCCCCCAACCCTCTAAAACCCCAGCAAAGCCACACCGAAAGCGTTTATAAAAAGCCGTGAACCCTGAGACCTAAAGAATTTCCTGAACCCTGAAACCCTTTACAGCAATAAAGCCTAGAGCACCCTCATAGATTCTTTACCGAACCCCTCTTTATAACCCTTATCATCATCAATCTGAAGAGCCTATATTATATATATAGAACCCGCATTTACGAACCTATTGTAAAACCCAAATTTGCAACCCTGACAACTTTATTGCACAAGTTCTTAACCTCATGGAAACCTACATATAACATGAATCCAGGCCTGGCGACGCAAAGCAATGTCCGCTGGCGCGAAGAGACCTTGGCAGCGGTGCTTCAGCCGAAAATGCCCGGGGGCACCGAAAGTTCCATGACCAAACATATACGCACTGCGATTAGATCAGGATGTAAGGGGCGCACGAGGGAATCAATGCAGGGATATGGCAAAGAAAACCTGCCGCCCAAACAAGGAAACCTAAACTACACGCGAACACCTCCACTTCCCAAGCTTACCAAGCCTCAAAACATCTCAAAACCCTGGGTCCATAACCAGGACCCCGAAGCCTGGACCAGAAAGCCTTGACCCTGCTGAAAAGCAGGAACACCAAACTGCATGCGAAAACCGCCAAAGACACGCACTTGCTACCCGGAACCTTCAGCCCTTTCATGCCCTTCCATGGCCAGAGGTTTCACTTCGCCCAAATCTCAGAGAGGCCAATGCCCTACTTAAGGAATGCAACTCAAATTTATGATGCAAGGTATTAACATCAGTTCAGGGGCGTTGGCTATTTCCTCAAACAGAACACTTCGGGCCTATCGTATACAACCTTGAATACTCGAGCCCTTTCTAAACCGCCCCCCAAATTCCCACGGCCCTACCCCAAACCCCTAAACCCTAAACGCCCCCAAACGTCCGAATCCCAAAGCCTTGCAAGATCCTGAAAGCCTAGTCCACGAGATCCTGATCCAGAAACCCTACAAGCCTAAAGCCTAAATCCTGAATCCCCCCGAAAGACACTAATTGCTAGAACTCTAACACCTATACGCCCTAAAACCCTACTAACCCCTAAAGCCTCAAAGCCGATACTCTCTACACCCTAGATCCTCATATCATGCAACCCTGAACTTTAAAACCCTAAACAATTGACAACCCCGAACCATGTAAGTAACTTCAACACCATGACACTCAGCCCTAAGTCTGTCAACCGCAAACACCGGGGCCCTAAGCCAGAGCTACTACTACGATCCTTTGTAAACTTCAACTTCGCCGACTCTTGTAGGTAGACACCCCTAGGCCTAAAGGCTCTGAGCCTTCTACCGGCCCCCCATAGTTAAACCATGTTCAACCCCTAGACCTCCAGCTACCCAAGCACTAGTTTACTGGGGCACATAATAATACCTATAGTCTCCATTGTTGTTTCTTTTTGAGGTTACCTTATAGGATCCTTAATATATAGTTATCTGCAATGGAGACTATAGGTTTTTGCTTAGTAAGCAGCCCCCGAAAAACCCCAGAGAGCTCGGGATCTCACGTCGTCATCGCCGCGCACGCAAGGCAGGAGATGCATGTTCGGGGCGCAGGCGCCTGAGAACTTTTGGGATGCTAGGCCTTGCAGGTTTCGGCTTTAGGACCTTCGGCTTATAGGGTTTAGGATTCTTTCGAGTTCAATGAGAGCTTCGGGCTACCCCCTAAAACCCTACACGCGGCCAAGACAACGAGAATCGGAAACTGGAAACGATGCACAATGCTGTCTCGCAGCCCCCAGGCCAAACGACCCAAACTTCGTTACAGGTCTGAAACAAACCCGAAGCACTGCAACACTCTTGTAACTTAGAACACCCCCTGTAGTACTCGTTGAGACCCTCTGCTTGAAATCGAAACCCGTGTGAAGACCAGCAGAACATGGACCATTCACGTCTTGTCCCAAAGTTCAAAGTCGGAACACCTAGAACACAGCAGATCAGCAGGAAGATGCTATAAGCCATCCAAAGGTTTCGCGACAGAAACTTGGCTGCCGGATCAAAAAGACAATGAACAAGTGTCCAACAAAAACATACCACGCAAGATCAAAAACTAAATTGAAGACATATCAAAAATAAGCCCCTCGAATCACGGCTGCCACAGGGACATAATATACATACATATATATATATATATATGAGAGAGAGAGAGAGTCATAGTAATAATACTAATAATCATACGAAGCAGATTACGAATAATAATTACTAATAATATGTACGTACTCGAAACACCCTGAAGCAGAAAGCCCGCATTGGCACGACGAAAGGCGGCCTTGCGATTGAACCTCTGCGGAGCTGCAGTGGCCATGGCTGCGCAGGTGCAGAACCGATCCAAGGGCCCTGTATAGGGGTTGCACGGAGTTTACGGTTTCCTTTGTTGCTGGGTTCATAAGCCCCCAAAGTGTACACGTTTAATTAGTTTTGTAGTGGTTAATATTATCCGAAATAGTGAAAAGGGAATCCACTCAACTACTGAGGTTCGGATCCCTGAAACGGCAACCCTCATACCCCGCGGGTTCAGGGCTTCGGGCAAGCCCCACAGACCCAAAGTCTCTGTTCCTATATAATGCCTAAACCTCTACTGAAACTCCCAAATCCTAAACCCAAACCCTGGAATCGGATAACATCGGCACTATGGTGCACCACGCTTGCATGCATCTGCATTCGTTCGCAACTGTTTCAGTTCAGGCTCTCGTTCGAATCTGCTTCCGGCAGTCAAAGAGCGGGTTAAGGATCTGGGGTTTGGGGGTTTTGGTTTTTGTGGAGCCCGACATGTCTATAGGAGCTGTTCCAGTGTGGCTTTGCAAGGAAGGGCATCATCAGGCAAGATCTATCACAGCAAGGCTCTGCGACAACTACAGCCAATAGTGCAGGCTTTTACGTTGTGACACTTCGAATATGCAAGCGGGCAATCCGAAAGCCGAAACAGCTTCCTGCGGCTGGACTCATAGACCACTCGGGGAGCTTGGAATCTAAACTATAAACCCCTAGCCCTTACAGCCACAAGCAAAAGATACTCTACAAAAGCACCTCAACAATACTTATCTCCCACACCTTGAATCTGGCCGAATACTACATAATCAATGTTCCGGCTTGTTTGGAAGTTGCTTGCAAACCTGCAGAGATCGACCAGCTGTGTTCCGTGGCACGAAACCCGAAACATGAACCGCCATTTAATTTAGCCAAACGCAAATCCGAACACAGCAGGCCGGAAAACCAAAACCAAAAGCGCAACTTACTAGACAGGTAGACCCAAAACCGTAGACCCCAACGCCCATCGAGCATTATTCAGAGGCTTGAGTTCCAACGGCTTGGGGCATTTGGGTTTCGGGGTTTTTGGTGGCAAAGGCTCTGAGTTCCAGTGCGACACACTTCATGAACTTAGGCCCGCGACAAAGGAGCGCGCGCAATGCCGCGCTTCTCGCGCTGCGCTGTGAGTATTTGCGCCTTCCGGGTGATGGCTGATAGCACTTCAGCCCTATAAAACCAAAACCTGCAAACCGAAATCATACACGTTGCAAGACCTAGCAACAGCTTTGACCATAGGGTTCCATATATACTGTTCTGTATATGTGCACAACCCAGACTACGTAATGGGGCTTCAAGTCTTGGATTCAGAGTTTCTGTTGAGGTCTGCATGTATATATATATATATATATATGTACATAGAATTACAGACGGGCTAGAGTCGAGGCCTTGGGGCTTTCATCACTGACTAAGGTTATGCGTCGTCTTCCGGCAAACCTTCCTTCGTTCGTACACGCAGCATTGCCGCCAGAGCCGAGTGCGTCAAATCCTAAATCTGAAGCTTCGGCACCACAACCTCAAGCCCAGACACCATCAGCCCTTGCGTTCAAGTTTGGCTAAGCTGCCTTGACTCGCATCACCTTACTTTTGGCAAGGTCTAAGTATAAGCGCCAGTCGAGAAATAAAAGGGGTCCTACAGAAACGAGGCGGTACCCGGAACTTTACGTAAGGAGCCCTTAAGTAAGGAGTTGTAGTTACTGAGCACAGCATACCCCCTCTCTAGCATGTGGTCTAATCCATGCTCAACACCCAACCCTGCAAGAGACAACCTTATGAAGCCCTCCCAAAGCCCCAAACCTTTCAAGAGGAAACACCTGAAGCCCTAAACTGGGCGGTTTCATTTCAGACCTCGTAAACATCCGTGAGGTCGCCAAGCCCCGCTGCTTGCTCTACAAGGCGGCGCGCCTGCTTTCTGCGGTTTCTTGTTGTGAAGATTCCAGGGTAGGGATTTAGGGTGTGAAGGTTTGTTGGCAGATTTCTAAACGGCTGTCAAGACTTTGTAGGGTGTTTGGGGGTCTGACGTTGGGGCTTACGATTTGGGTTTTAGGCTGGAAGCTTTGGGTGCTTGGATACGAAATGCTGAATTCGGGGGTTCGGGGTGTAGGGTAGAGTCTGCATGCAGAAAATTCGGCCGAGCTGTGACACTACAGTTCTCTAGCTGGGCGAGCAGATATATTCCTTTTCGGGGTTCTCCTGTTTTGGACACAACTGTAGCATAAATTACCTGCAGAGAGAAAATGTAGTGCAACTCAAGGTCTTAATGTAAATCCTAATTCCCCAAACCCTCATTATGAGTAACCCCCCCCCCCCCCAACGAAAACACAACAACCCTGACCTTGGGCACGGCCCCCACTCAGTAATAGTTGAATAATATTCATAAAACAGGTATATATTAGGACCTTAATAGTAGCCCTACTACAGCCTCTCACTGTATGGGGGCAGTACCTAACCTAAACCCTCTAAACCCTAAACCCCTAAACCCCTAAACCCTGATTATCAGGACTCCATGGCCCGTGGACGAGAGGGGCCTTGAGCACAGTGCGGATCGCCCAGTCTGGGATGCCACCTAAGTTTGAGAAGGGACTAATTAGGTGGGTTTTCGTTTTCGGACTATATAGGGGTTTCGGACTATATAGGGACTATAGGGTGGGTGTTTCGTTCGGGGACTAGGGGTTTTGTTTAGGGTTCGGGTTTTCCGTTTAGGGTTTTCTGATTGTTTCATTTTCGAGGTTTACAGACAAGCGTTTCAGGTAGGGTCCTACTCGTTGGGGTTAACACAACTCTACGATGTTGATGTTGTCTAAGGCCTCACAGTCAAACACCATCCTGTGTTTTGGGGATCTCTATCAAAGGTTTTAAATTCGATCGCCGTAGAATTGAAGTTGCAAGGTCCAGAATTTACGGTTGAAGGTTCAAGGTCTGGTGCTTCAGATAGAGCGCTAAAGCCTGCTGCTTTGCAGCAAACCTTTCGGATTTTGAGGCAGACTAAGTCAGGGCTTTGCGCCTGCAGGGGTTTAGCCTTTCCTTCGATGCACGGTGCAAGGTGTGGGGCATGCTGAAAATTATGCGTCCCTTGTTCGGATGGGGAGGGGGTTTTAAGGAGCTACTACTTTGGGCGAACTTTGGGTCTATACTGGGGCTTCCATATATTATGTTCTGAAACCCCAGGTCACTGATGCCACTGGCCTAGGTTTAGAGGGCTGCATGATGCAGCAGATTTGGAAAATTCCAAACCTTCGCGACAGCTTTCTGGACATCTTATCACGTTCTATAGGCCTGAGGAACCTACCTATTTAGGATTGTCGCCTCTGCTATAGCCGCGTAGGTTCCGAAGGTCCAGGTATAGGGATTGTGGATTGACTTTCGGGTTTCACGTTTGGAGCGGTGGCCGTAGAGTTGAGGTAGCACAACTTGGAGTTGCAAGTCCCTTCCTGTGCTCGCCCTAGTGACCGCTTCGGATTGACTCCAGGCCAGTCCAAAGGAAATGTGTCCATATAGTCTCGTCCTCATGCACGCCCAGCACGTGCTCTTTTTATCTCTTTGCTTTTCCCACTCTCTCTCATTCACTCTCGCTCATGATATTTCTCTCTTCGTCTTGCATGTCTCTGTCTCTGTCTGTATGTCTCTCTCTCACTCTCTTCGTCTAACAATCTCAAGATACGCAGTAGAAGCAACGATGACACATGCCAGCAACCCTGTTCTGGGTCTAATGAGACTGGGAACTATTCAGTCTTAGAGCTATACTGAATACTGATCGTAACTCAGCATTTCCGGAATATCTCGGACACGGACCGCTCGAAGCCTGGCGCTCGTCGAAGAGAGACAATGGGGCGCGCCTGCTCCGATCTGCGAAAGATCAATTCTTCGAATAGCCCAAGCTTGACCCCTCAGCTGTAAGAGCTGAGTGCACCATGGCTATGAACGTTTGCAGCTTGTAATGTGTATAGGGGAGCATATTCAGTTGCACTCTTAAAATCAAGAATACCACAGGTATATTTGGGGACGAAGACCGCTCGAGTACTCTTTTGCAGGCGTCTCGGATGCAAGACTTAGACACCGCAGACGCTCAGCCATGAACTCTCACGAGGGCTGTCTATAATTTGTGCATGCGAAGACCTTGTCATCCTGAATTGAATCCCTGGGCCCAGCGATGAACAGCACAACACGCAACACGATTCGAGTGATACTTGCTGTCGCTACTGATTTTGGTGGAGACATTAGCATTTTAGGTCAAAGGGTCCACAGCTCAGAATCCTTCAAGCTTTGAGTCATCACGCTGCTCAATCCTACCGACACAGAAAAAGACCACGCCAAACTCTCAGTAGTGTCAATCCCACACTTTGACTTTTGCAGCTGGTAACTTGTTCATTGGTGACCTGGTCTTCCTCTATCACAGCGACCAGAGCGACAACAACTAAGATATCTAATGTTGTGGATGGCGACGGCTGCTTTGGTCGAACCTGAACATAAGATCACAAGACCCAACACAAATGAAGCGCAGGGAGCCGTGCCAGGTGGTAGTGGCGACGCGGTGCTCGGCATCCATGCGCTGCTGCGCGCGCAGCAGCACTCCGCGCAGCTGAGCCGCTCCCATCTGAGGAAACAGGCTTTCACACACTTTTGTGGGACCGTAGGGTTGAATCAGTTCGGACTAAAAAGTTCATAATGGGAAGCCATTATTACACTTTCTCTCTGTCTCTCTCTCTCTCTCTCTCTCTCTCATCCAAGCCCCGACAACAGTTGTTGAAGCGTGAACCCCAGACCGCCACACGCTTGGTGAAGCTCTAAAGTCTTTCAGGGCGCTTGATGAGGTCTTCTGCAAATGACGGTCCCGTGTCTTGCACCCGTTTATCGGGGATCCTGGCGCTTATAGGGCTTCTAACTCCGAAAATCTGAACCTCCGAACATGCTCAACACCCCCGCCACACACACATCCTGAGCTGAACGTTTGCCTTCATCCTCGAAGCCCAAAAAGTTAGACCCTCACCCCAAAGCTCCCCCCAACAACAAGCAAACATCAGTAGGATCCTCGATAGCCAGCAGTGTAACATTCCCGCCAGGTATTCGAACATGCTTGGCAAAGATACCCGGAATCCTGAACCTGAAAACTTGATTCAACTTGATTCTTCAGGTATCTTTGGCAAAAGCCCATGCTAATTCGTTGATCTAAACGCTAACAGTTACGAACCCTGAACCCATAAAACGGTAAACATCCCTGGAACCCTGTGCCCTTCTGCCACCCAACACCAACCTTAACTTCTGACAACTTTCTCTATGGTAGAATAAGACTTGTAAAGGGATCCGACCATCAATTTTCCCTCCAAGAAGGGCAGGGAGATTCTTAAAGAGGTGTCTCCCGAAACCTGAAAAGTCCCCACAGCACCACCTGGTTCCCATGTTCTTCTGTAAACAATGCCGCCCTTGTAACCCACAATTACGACACTATAAACACCCACCATTGGCTTGGTGGACCTGCCTTTGGTCGGGGGCTGTCACCTCCCAGCTACAAATAAGGGCTCCATGGGGGGTCCTACATGGGTTTCTACAAGTTTCTGCGTCTTGGACCTGCTTTTACAAAGTTTGTTAAACGAAGGTGGTTGCAATCGTTCGATAGATTAGGATCTCCCGTTGGCTCAACACAACCCACAAGACTTGTCATTGGCCCTGTGCGCCTTGCTGCAACAGGGAATGACACCCTATATCCCTATTTGATGTGCGTCTCTGATGATTCATTAGTCTGGGCTTGGCGGCGACTGTATTGACTCTGTTGAGTTCATTGCAGCAGCGGTTTGAAACTGACGGGTGCGACCAACAAGTTTGGCACTCTAAGCTACGCGAGGACAGGAGCAATACGAGCCTTCCTAACTTGAAAAGGGTTTTGGAGTATGTCATTACAAATCACTCTTCTATGTTACTACTCGTAACTGACAGCCTGAGGACCTTTGTTGACAGTTCAGGATCTGGGGCTTTTGAGGTCGTAGCCTTCATTGTTTGATTTGATTTAGTAAACACCCGACATGCCTGGAGCCCCTGAGACCTAAACGACAAACCCCGATAAACCCGGAATAAGTTGAAAGGTACACCGTAGACCCGTAGTCGTCTAGAGCTTGGCTGTGCCTGCTTCGCCTCGGAGCACTTGTCGCACTAGAAGGTCCTGGGAGGGTGTTGAGCGTCAGGATGCTGAGATTCAGATTCAGGGTGGGCTAAAAACATAGGATTCTGAAGGACTCTGTTGGGCTCTCAAAGATTTAGGGTTGGAGTTGTATAGCGTCTAGATCGACATGCCAAGCCCTCTGTAGGTTATTGCAACCAATATCTGAGCTGCTACTCAACTTGCTGTCCCCAAATCAGCCCTGTCGGGATCTCGATGGCTGTGATGGCCACGACATGCATGTGTGTATATACACGTAATTATGTGTGTATGTATAAAAAGTCTTTCTCTCTCCCTCTATATATATACATATATATATATATATATATATGTATATATGTCTGTCTATCTATGTGTGTGTATATATATATACATATAATAGAGAGAGAGAGAGAGAAGAGAGAGAGAGAGAGAGAGAAAGAGAGAGAGAGAGAGAGAGAGAGAGAGAGAGAGAGAGAGAGAGAGAGAGAGGAGTCGGCTGTGGAGGAACAGTCTGAAGGCTAAGCGGCTAAACCCCAAACCCCAAATACATAAACCCTGAACCCTAAATGCTAAAGCCTGAACCCTTGAGCGGCCCATGGGCCTGAGGGCTACGGGATGCCTTCACTTGCCACGGCGGGCCTCCTGCTCTGGGTCGCGCGGAGACTCCTCCTCACAGCCCTGAGAGGAGAATTCCAAATAACATAGCTGCTAGCTGCTTTAGGTTGATGCTGTAGTGTATAGCTTCTAGCGTTTAGAGTCTTAGGGTTTTGATGTTTGCACCACTCGTGAAGCCGCCAACCCTTAACCCGAAATCGTAGCTCTGCTCTTTCGCCCATTGCTCGCCCTCTAGACCGGTAAGGGCCGGCTTCAAGACACTTCGGGAAACCCTGAAACGACGAATTAAGGATGCTAGACACCCGTCCACAACTTCTCACGGCCTCTAAGAAAGTATTTCTTTGCCATATGTCACTGTCGTCCGTCTCGCAAGCCCTCATCCCTGAAAGCGATTAGCCTTTCCAGCTTCGACCCTCAACCTTGAAACTCGCAGGGTCCTAAGGCGTCTACATTGTGGAAACCAAGACAAATAATCGGAAGAACGACGAAAGCTCCAAACCCTGCAAAACAAAGCACGAACGCCCCAGCAAACCCCAAGCCCCAAACACTAAAGCCGCCGCATGAAACCCAGAAGCTGCCGCAGGAAACCCCAAAGCCCCCCAAACAAAAACGCCCAAACCCTATACTGCCTATATATGCTATAGACCTTGGCTCCAAAGAGACCAAGCCTGCTCCGACGTCATCAGGCTGCTGGGCCCGTGGCAAGAACAGGGTCTAGCATTGGAGGGTTCTTTAGGATTTCCCGTGGAAGCTTATGGCTTTAGAGTGCAGGGATGCGTAGAGTGTGTGCATAGTTTAGAGAGCTCGGAGTTTAGCTGATTTTCCTTTACTTCAGGCGTTCGGTGGTGGTGGGGAGGGCTGTCGGGCGGCTTTGGGACTGTCCGGCGTGCACGAGGTTCGTTGAGGCTTTGGGCGGATTTTAGGCTTCGACATGTGTGGAACTCAGGAAAACTTGGGGTGTCGTTAGTATGGTGTCAGGACTTAGGGACTTATAAGCTTGAGGGGTTGCAGGGATGAAGCATTAGGGATCTGCAGCGGCGGCGGTGGCTCTGTACATGATACATGTGTTGGCTGCAGTTTTGCCTGTCGTTGTGGCTGCAAGCATTGACCTTACAGGGGCTTTTACAGTGCTGGAGGGATGCCCTCTTTTCTAAGATTTCTGCGTGTTCCCGATTGTAACCAGGCTCTGAGCCTAGGCCAGGCAACGGCTCACCGCAAAGTTCAACTCACATCTTCCATGTCGAGCAGTCGCTGCCTTCTTTCGGGGTAAAGCTACGAAGCAACAGATGGGCGCAAGGGCTGTCGACCTTCAAAGCAGTCCATGGATGAACAGATATGTGATATGTCAGGGCAGGTACGTGGCGCTTTAACTCACAATGCGCTTCCCTTTCCACGTGTAAGGGGCATGCTATTTGCTCCAGCATGGGCAGTTGCCGAAACACGGTATCCTCATACCGGTGCTGTCAGCATGGTGCCCTGTCCCCTTTACTGCTCTTTCGGGATTCATTGAAGGTACCGCATGTTGATCGAAATCGAAGTCTTATGCTGGCTATGACATTTCCCGTGTTGCGGACCCAGGAAAACGCACCAAGCTGCCTTCCGGGACCCTGAAAAAACGTCCTGTTTGGACAGGCACCTCGAATTCTTGGCAAGCATGGGTTGCTCGAAATTGAAAAGGCTTGAGGGAGGGCTAATCTAAGGGTCTTACAATCAGAATAGGGTTTGGGGCCCATCATACCATACTTAGGACCCCCGCCCAAAAAAAAGTATTGGTAATCATTTAGGCCCCTATTACTGGGGGCCCTTTCATAGCAACATCGAGCTTTGATCTGGTCAATTTCTGTAGCAACACCGTTGCAAACGCTGGGCTTTCTCGAGAAGCTGAGACCCCAAAATCTCTGTAAATAGACAGAAGCGGAGACACTTGCAAAGACGGCATCCTAGGTCCTAGGCTCCAGACTCCAGCCTGTGGAGGCCTGTATACTCGGAAAGGAATGTTTCCGTTTCTGTGGATTTGGGATCCGAGATGTTGCGCGCAAGCTCAGATTTGCCGAGTGCGGGCAGATGCTCTTATGCAGGCACGATCATGCACCAAAGGAGAAGAGATCGGCGGAGGCATGGGCCTGCACTCGTGGAGCTGCTTCGCAACCCAAACCTCCCAACGCTCGACCCTAAACTTGGTTTTAAGGTGGGACATGGTGCCCTGTCACTGACCGGGCTTCTGGCTGCTGAGGTTGATGATTATCGCTATTCTTACGTTCATGAGTCAGAACTATGATGACTATTCATACAAGCACTATAGTATTGCTACTACAATCGTATACTAGCCGCAGTATTCGTGGTCTACTCTGGTATTCCTAGTTGGAGAGGAGGAGGCCTTGGCACAGGGCTGGTCATCGCGCTCGGGCCGGGGCCCTGCATGCCTTTCGCTTCTGTGGATTTCTGTGGGTTCTTGGGGATTTGGGTTTAGGGTTTGGTAGTATGATGGTTACTAACTGTAAGTCACAGGGGTTGAGGGTTTTGGGTTTAGGTTTGGCACCTTAGAACTTTGGGCTTACGGCTTTCCTGCAAGACGTCCTTGCAGACACTCCGGAATATCTCTCGGACGAGGCAAACTGCGGCCTAGGGCTTCTAGTACGGTTTAAGGATTTTAAGCTTTTAGCGTTTGGGGGTCTTTGGGGTTTGGAGATGTAGCCCCGACCCCCCAAAACCCAGGTTCGCGAGGGCTTGGGTTTGGGGATCCGGGGATTCTTTTTAGAGCACACACTGAGAAGAAACTCCGCTCGGCGCGCGCAGCAAACCCCATAAAGATCCCCGCGCACAATGCCAAACCCTATTGAAAACCCAATACATACAAGCCTGCACAACCCGGTTATCAAAGCCATTTATTACAAAAGCCTATAAAACCCTTGTTATAGCACCACCATGACCCCGCTGTAGTCCCTAAACCCTCGGAGACTCCGAGCTTTTGCTTGAGATCTGCCTCTGCCAAGGAAGTGGTACCAAGGTTTCCCGGGGATTAGGGCTTGAGGGTCTTCGGGCTCTAGTGCTTCTAAGGCTTTAGGTTGTGTCGCGGGCTTAGTGTCTATGCGGATTATCCGTAAAAGCTTAAAAGCTCATGGGAATAAGGGTGGCTGGCGACTGTCCCTGCATGCATAGGTAACGGCCTTGATAAGGGCTCAGAAAGGCTTACGATACGGTCTCAAGCTCAGGGAACAAGCGCAGCTGGTTTTTGTCATTTGACAGCTACACCCACTTGCAGACGAGAGTCTCTTGCGGTGCTGCCACAGCACATGCGGCGGGGCTGCATAGCCCAACCCCTGAAAATCAGCTTGTTAGGGATCGTAGGTTCAAGCTTTACAGGTTTAGGGTTCGACAACCTCAGCAACTGTACCGGCACGATGCATTCATAGGTTTCCCTTGAGTAATTCGAGCCATCGACCAGAAGAGCGGCTCATCTTCTGGAGATGAGACAATCGTCATCCTCGCTTATTTATCATCAGAGAGGCAGCACCTTTTGCCTCCATCTACGTTGCAATGCAGCCTCTAAGCTCTCACATAGCATTCAACCCGAGCACCAGCTAGGACTAACACAGTGTATGAACTAAACCCCATAAATCCCCTAAAAGCCCTAAACTCCCTGAACCCTAAGCCTCCTAAGACCGTAAACCTCTTGAGTAGCGTATGGAAGGCTCGACTTCTCGAGGCCTCCATCGGAAGCGGTACAGCGCCCACCGCCTCGCAAAGGCGAAGGACAGGCGTGGGCCCTTGGGTTGGGGTTCACGGTTTTAAAGATTCAGATGTAGGTTTATAACAATTATACCTTAAACTCTAAAGTACTTGGGTTTAGACTCTGGACTTGCAGAGTGTGGGGATGGTTTCGGGTTTGGGAATCTCGGGCGCCCCCTCAGCTTCGAACTGCTCCTACCCTAGGACGTGCTAACACTTGGTCACCGTTCTTGCGATTTAGAAACTTATGGAAGCCGTAGTGTGGGTGTACTTACATATATATATATATATGTATTTCTTTATCTATTTATCATTTATATTTATTTGTGTGCGTACATATGTATGTACGTATGCATGTATGTACATGTGTATGTACGTAAATCCGTCGGTGCCGTTGTATGTGTGTATATATATATATACACACACATATACACACACACATGTAGATACGTATATATATATATATATATATATGTATATACACACACACGTACATGTATACACACACGTACATGTATACACGCATGTATATGTATATATACATATATACATATATATATATATATATGTATATACACATGTATAGGCATACATGGGCATACAATATACATATGCACACATACAGATGTTTATGTTATGTCTGTTATGTACTGAGAGTTTGATCCATTTTGGACTAGGGAGGGCTGACAAAGTCAGGTCTACAAGACTCAACCGTGAAACTACATCAACTTTGCACCAATCCTACGCCATCAGCTTTCCGGATTTCCAATCCTTGAACAGAAATCGATTACGGTTGAAGCTTTAAGGCTTGAGGCTTCAGGTTGAGAACCGTCAGGCGGTTCTTGCATCTTCACTCCCCACCAACACATTACCGTGATTGATGATATGTTCCTTCACAAATGGGCATTGGGATGTTTGGGCGGCTCTAGGTCAGTTCCTTGGATTCTGCTCGAGACTGCGTGCAGAAGCTTTTAGCCAGAGTGTGCGGGATTTCCTGATTACGGTGTATTGGGTAGTATTGGGTTCTCTGAGGCTTGCGCCTGAGGAGGCCAGCAATATGGCGCATACATAGGCTTCTGGCGGCCACCCTGGCTTTAGGATGTTGGGTCTCGGATTTTGGAGTCTCAGTGGTTCGCCTCTCCACAAACACAACAAACTCAAGAACCTGTCTTTAGGATTTGGGATAGGGTTTTGGCATCCGGTCTTCTTGTCAACGGCTTTTGCAGGAAGAGAGTCTTTCGCAAATGTGCTCTGATTGAGTATTGGCCTCATCTAGTCTACTAGCAGGCCTCTTGAATCTTCTCACTTCCCCTCTTCCCACATTGCAGAAACATACTTACTGACAAGAATCCATGAAGATTCACCGTTGTTTTAATTTCGGAGAAAGGATGAGTTTGTGTCCGTTTTAGGTACTGCGCACTTGCAGACAGCGTCTCTTGCAGAGAACATACCAAGACAATGATCATGGATCCAGCATAATTTTTTGGTACATGGAGGGATGAGCCACGTTATGGATTTTACTGTCCGTCCACCTGTTCGCATGCATACTATATGCGATACTAAGGACCCGTTACCTGTTGCAACGTAGGGTGGCTCCACAAGTAGCGACAATCAGACAGACTTACAAGCGCCTAGTCAGTCCTGAAGCTGTCGTAACCCATGGTGCTAGTGCTTCTAGTGCTACTGGTACCATGATTTACTGCCGCGCTCGCAACACTCACACGGAAGAACCTTCCGTTCTCGACAGCAGACATGGCGGCGGGGCCCAACAGCAGCACCAGCAGCAGCTACCCCTCCGACAGCAACTGCCTTGGAAGTCGGAGCTGTTTATGATCCATGCCTGGTACAGGAAGGATGGCATCTCGGAACTGGGTCTCGTGCGCAACAGGCAGCAGAAACAGCAGCAAAGAACGATCACCTCAAGATAACACGAGACGAGGCTCGGGCCGCGGGATTAAGCTTTGACATTTACTGTTACTGTAGGCTTGTAGCCTGCTAGCATTGCTCCAGTGTGCGCAACTAAGCCGCGAGCTGCGACGAGAAGGACCAACCTAGGTTTGCGGATGGGACATTGCGAAGCCTGGTAATTCTCTCTCTCAGACAAACGCACACCTACCTAGCAAGTCCGTTCCGGCTAGGTCCCCAGATGCATTCAAACCTACACTATGGGAAGGTGACACATTGACATATCCACCGTGCTAGCTTCGAGTTGCAAGGTGGTCAAACAGAACAACCGCGGTTTTTGTTTGACTGTTGGGGATGTCTTGGGCACACTGCCGCTGCCGCGGTCAAGATTTCAGAGTCGCCAGCTGCTCTGAGGCCCTGAGGCTGGCACCCTCCGTTGCTCATCATGAAACCCCACGCACCTTGAGAGCACCGAAACACGTTCAGTGCAGCAGCAACCACAACCATAACGACAGTCTGAACCTTCTCAGCATAATGAAGATAAAGACCGTCCCAAGCTGCCTGACAAAGCTCTCCAAACGGAAGCAGCGCCAACACTGCTGTGCGAAATCTAGGTCATGCAGACATTGTTTGCAGGAGCCAACCAATTACACAGATTTGTATACAGATTTGTATCAGAGTTGGCCGCGAGTCCGAAACCTACCCTGAAGCCTCAACCCTGAATCATACTCTGAACTCGGAAACCTAAGAAAACAGAGGGAACCAATGCCTAATCGAGTATTTTAAAAGAATCAAAATACCTCATGGTCATACTGCCCATCTACCCTGAACGACAATACAAATACCAAGTTTTTTCAAAACTTCTTCAGGCTTACACTCAGGACCTACAAAGGAAGAGCTTATGGTACTTCAAGGCACAATCTCAGCTACCCTAAACGGCGGTGTCCCCGAAGCTGTCGAATGCGGCCGAAAGTCCCCAGGCCATGCTCATGAAATCGGCCGGCGGCGGGTCCTCTGCCACCTCCGGGTATGTACAAATATGCGAATGCCTGTAGGTGTATGGCTGCACACAGGCATCAAATATAATTACAGACTTACACACCTACATACCTAGGTACCTACATGCAGACAGCCAGCTCAGACAGCCAGGCAGACAGACCGACAGATGGACCATCACAGACTTTTTCGGATGCATGATCGTTTGCGCACGGGGTAGCCAAGTCGAAGACAAGCTGGCTGTCTTGAAGTTGAAGACTCGCGAATGCATTGATGCCAAACTCGGACCTACTGGATCCCAGGAGTACTTACACAAACCATAAAAGAAGATATAGGAAGGGACTTAGAAATCTTCACCTTGGGCAACACGAGTCTAGGCACACAAACGTTTGATCACAAACCTCTACTCGGCCCCAAACCGTAACGTCCTGGTAGACCATAACGCTGGCCCTGAAGCCGTATGACCTAACACGGCAACACAAAACTCAGCAGAAAGCCTAGAGCCCACTAAAGTCCCAGGCAACCCCAGGCCCTTGCAGGCCCGCCTCGCCCGGGGATGTGGAAGCCGCCGAGGTCGACACGGGTGTGCTGCACTGCATCCCCTGGAGCAAGGCCAGCAGTATGGGTCCCGATAGGGCCGTTTATAGGATCCAAATCCAAACTGAAACCTCGATAGAAAGCTACCTGTTGAAGGCAATAGATAGAGGAAATTGTGATGAGGAAGCGGCAGGTTGTCGGCTTCTGAGTCTGGAGGCCTAGACTCCTAGACCCTGAAACCTTGAAGCGGCGGCACCTCAGCGGAGGCCAGGGTCAGCCATCCTTCCTCGCACACCTGGCGGGGCTTGCAAAGATCTTCTGCGGAGGGGCGCTTTGCAGTTGAAGGCTTTCGGTCAAGGAGTTAGGCAATTACTTTCCAAGGCCATAATGGGTTTACAATCACGAAGGCCAATCAATGCTCCAAGGCTCGCAGGCTCAGGATCTTGGTGAAGAAACGCCAAGAGGAAGAGAGCTGGCTCTTCCGATCTTCTCGAAGAGGCTCGGAGAGCTGGGGCCCGGGCGCAGCGGTTCGGGTTCAAAGCATCCGGGGCCCCATGCAAGCAGCAAGCGGCTTGCTGCCTGAGGCTTAGACCCGATTTTATAGGGCCTAGAGTTCAGAGTAAAGTTTAGAGTTTAGAGAGTTATAGAGTCAGGTACCAGACTTGAGGGGCTTTGAGGGATGTCGTGGCTTCTTGCAGGCCTCTGAGGCCTTCGGGATTTTCAGGTTCAGTTTGGAGCTTGAAAGTTTGGCGCTTCGGGGCTGTGAGTTTGCAGGATTTGGTGCTTGAGGATCGGTGTTTTGGAGGGCTTGGTTTGTGTTGTTAGCGGTGTCTGCGTGCGAACGGATTATGTCACAGTCAGAGAGAAGCTGCCATAGGTGTTTACTGTTTACTGTACACAGGTTCTAGGGCTCGTGCAGGCTTTTTGCTTCAATCGCAGAGATCCCTTAAAACCAACCGTTTAAAGCATCAAACCACAACAGCTTAAAGCTTGGGAAGGACCTTCCCAAAGCGACTCTAATGATTTTGGCAACCCTGAAACCCTCGGCGAATCCCCCCCCCCCGCCCTGGACCCTGACATCCACGATTTTCCGCACTGAATCCTAGACTTAACCTGGAAACCTCTCAAAACCTTGCAGCCCTCCTAAACCCCAAACCCAAGACAAGGGGGTTGAGTGTTTGGGTTTGGGACGGTATGGGGTGTTTTAGGTCCAGGGTGACCCTCGACATCTTATAAACCTCGAAGTCTAACCAACCTGATAAAGCATCTGCGACAGCATCTTCCAGGTTTCTGCGTGAGCTCTGGGAAATTTGAAATCTAGTCTCCTAAAGACAGAGCCCGGATAGCACCAAAGGTCGTATCAAAGCCCGAAGTCCTAAAACCAAGGCTTCGACTCACAGGGCAAAGTGGTCGAGGTGCCACTTGACAGGACTCCTGAGACCAAAAGATCCAGGCTGTCATAGGTTTGCTATGTGCTTGGTTTGTTGCTTTGCGCGTGCTGCTCAATGGCTTTGCAGGGCTGTTTTGGAAGTGGCTCTGCTTTATTTAAGGGCGTCATAGTCTTGCTTGCAGGTTGTCCCGTAAGATATGTATATCGGAATGTCCTTCCCAGTGAAGTCCAAATGCAAGCCTTTGGGGGCTGAGGGAGTATAGCGCTTTATCGTATTGGGATATAGGGTCCAGAGTGCCGCTAAGTTTGGGTAAGGACCATTGGTTGTAATAGTTTAGTGTTTGGGAACTAGTGTTCCTCGGGTTTAGGATCCAGAGTTCATTTATGCATGGAGTGTGAGAGTTAGATTTCTACTATTCACAAAATCCATGTAATTCGTGGCGAAGCGGGAAGTCTAGGAACACCATACCTACACAACCCGGAGGGTTTGGGATAAATCGGGAAAGCAGTGGGGTGCTTGAGAACATTGCAAACTGGCACGTGACTGAAGAAATACTCTGCAATGCAAGATGATCATAGAGGCTTCAAATCTGAGTACAAATATGTATACCCGCGTCACAGCCCGTAACGTACCCCAGTTTTATCACGAGCTATGGCCCTTTATGAGCCCAAACTCGAAGAACATGGAGTCCGTCCTGTCGTGGTTTGACTCTCCGTCACTGCCCTGGGGAAAAAGAGGCAGCGAGTGAACTTTTTCTAAGGCGTGGGGGCACGTTAGGTACAGGGCTCGTGGGTTTATTTAGGGCTCGTAGGCGCAGGGTTCGCAGGGCTCAAGTTTAGGGTGTCAGGGTTTAGGGGTTTGAGGGCCAAGGCTTTTGGGGCCCAGCCCTCATGCTATAGGTTCTTGTCTGCCTCGTACAGGGTCTAGGCTCGGGCTTATGGGTTGAAGGTCAAGGCTTTGAGGTTTAGGGTTTGTAGGACGATCTATCATTGTGATAGACAGCTGCCTTCATTGCAGGGATGCTCTTCGTTCGCAGGCCTGAGGCCTGCTTCTGCATCCTCGCATAACCTCTAAGATGCTGAGATCGGCTCGTGAGCTCGCCGGCGGCGATGCACCTGTTGGCCTCTGTGTCGCAAACTGACAATTGCCGTGGCAAGACCAATTCGCAATGCGAACGAAGTCTGAGAGAGATGTGGAAAAACAAAGAACAAAAAGCAGGGAGGTTCAAGGCGGTGCTTCGCTCTTCGCTTGCGCTTGTGGGTAGCTCCTTCAGGCCCGATGTTTCTCGCATGTGTTTTGGCGCATAGTGCTGGATTCGTGATAAGATCTTGCTATAAGCGAAGTTAGACGGGGACAGCACAATTACCGTGCTTCCATGGTAAGACTAGGTTCGGAGTTCGGGCATGAAGCGAATGATGCCTTGATGCACCTTCTCACAAAGCATACTAATGTAGGAAAAACAAGCCCCCGTCTGTGTACACAGACTCATGAAGCAAAATGTGCATATGCACGTGTGTAAGTAAAGATGTCTATTTCCAGGTGTGTGTGCATATGTGTACACAAGCAAGCAGAAGTGAACAAATGGTTCTGAGAACCCCCTAAAGACGGACTTCACCCCCGCCCGCCTGGGCATCGTAGTCCTCGCTTGGCCCGCAGTGCGCTACCGCCTCACACCTGGTGGCTTAGGCAATGTCGGAGTTTAGGATTTTAGGCATGTACAGGGCTAAGGGTTCGGGGAGTCCAGGGTTGAGGAGTTAAAGTTTAACGGTTTCGGGGTTGGGGGCTTGGACGCTAGCAGGGTACAGGGGGGAGTGCGCCCGTCTGCGAGCCTTCTTGGGCCAGCTGTTTCTGAACGCACATCTACCAAGCCCCCAAACAAGTTGTGGTTCTAAATGTCCAGTGTACGGTGTACGGGGTTGATTGAAAGCCTTGGCAGCTTCGTGGGTTGTTACGATAAAACTCCTTGTTAAGGAAGGGCCATTCACACTGCACTTCCATTTATTTACGAAGATCTCATGGGACCTGCGTCCAGTTTAGGATCCGAGGGCTTCTTTTTCAGGGTCTGAGGGCCCAAAGCTTTCGGGTTCAGAGTTTTGGAAATCTGTCGTGTAAACACCAGAAGGATAAGCCCCATCCGTGAATGAGTGTGGACCCCACGTATATCAATGAAGACATCAACATTAAACAAAAGGTGTTTAGTAATCGTCCAATACCAACAGCGCAGGTTTGCTTTCAAGCCGGATTTTGCACACTAGGACATGGATCGTTAAATCACAAGTTGAACAAAAAGTCAGAAGGTTGAGAACCTCGCTCTTGAACGCACACCACGCCAGCCACAGTTTACGAGAATTTAAGATTGCCCTCGCCTGCTCTTGAAGGATTGAGGGCTTACAAGTTGCGGTGTTTTGGGTATGTGCTCATGCCCCAAGCATGCCTGCTGTCAGCACTGTTGAAGAAGTTGCGGGCACCGTCATACTTCAGAACGCAGCAGAGGGCGCCACCTAGGTCCCGAGAAAGGTCACGCAGTTCACTCGCTATACTTAGGGGTAAACTTCAACTTTCAGCGCTCCTTTCAGTCAGAGAGCGACTACATGCACGGCTGAAAGCTCGTGGGATGAACCGTGGCACTGAGGGACGACGTGTGGTATAGTAGTAGCACAGTAGCGGTAGCAGTAGCAGTAGCAGTAGTAGCAGTAGCAGTAGCAGTAGCAGTAGCAGTAGCAGTAGCAGTAGCAGTAGCAGTAGTAGTAGTAGTAGTAGTAGTAGTAGTAGTAGTAGCAGCAGCAGTAGTAGTAGCAGTAGCAGCAGCAGCAGCAGCAGCAGCAGCACGGTGGATGGTACAAATCCTGCATGACCTGTCTAGCCGTGCCAGTGAAGATCCCCATTGCGTCTCCCTGGAGGCCATCTGGTCATGCAGGATTGTTCCTACTCGAGTCTCGACTCTTTCGGTTCATGGTGGGGATCAATATATTGAGATCCGGGGCTGCAGGAGGCAACACCTGTGTCGAGAAATCGATGCAGGATTTTTCGCAGCAACAGTAGCAGTGGTCGTAGCACTGGCAGCAGCAGAAGGAGTAGCAGCAGCGGTGATAAGTAGTAGCAGTAGCAGGACAGATGATAGATGGAGGTTGAGGTAGGAGGTAGGGGTAGAGGTAGTGATAGTGGTAGTTGCAGTGGTAGTGGTAGCGGTAGCAGTAGCAGGAGCAGCAGCAGCAGCAGTAGGAGGAGTAGGAGTACTAGTAGTAGCAGCAGGAGCAGTAGCAGCAGCAGTAGCAGCAGCAATAGCAGTAGGAGTAGTAGTAGTAGTAGTAGTAGTAGTAGTAGTAGTAGTAGTAGTAGTAGTGGTGGTAGTAGTGGTGGTGGTAGTAGTAGGAACCTTTAGCATCATATATATATATATATATACATATATATATATATATATATATTTATGCACATATGCATCACGTGTTTGTATATGTATTATGTATATATATATATATATATATATATATATATATATATATATGTATGTATGTATGTATATATGTATGTATCTGTGCATCTGTAAATACGCTAATATCTATGTTTCCATGTACGTACTTAAAATATACATATATATATATATATATACATGCACATACACACACACTGCATATATATATATGTATATGTATATATGTATATATATATATATATATATATGTATATATATATATATATATATATATATATATAGATGTTGTTTGGAGAAACACCCGAGCGCAGCCAGCTGAGGGCCAAGCCCTCGGAACAGTCGGCATCCTGGTAAAGAACATACTGCAACAGGCCAACACAAGGTTGCAGCATAACGACGCTTACATTTGCAGTGTGTCCCAGCCTATAGCCAACAAAGTCGTAAAGGCATCATCGTCAAGATCGCACGTAGGAACGTAAAAACAACCCTCTTTCAACACCGTGCCCGTCACCCCGATGCCGACACAAGCGATGCAATTGCAGAAATTGCACAAGCACCATCGTGGAAAAAGGTGAAGGTCCTGAGCAATGACCAGGGCTAACTGAGACAGCAGGCAGCCGGTGCGCATGCGATCCAGGGAATCAATCTTAGATATGCCGAAGGCGAAACTATACTGCTACCACTTAATCCATACCACCCCAGATTGCTGTTATGACTGGTATCACCTTTGCTACTACCAGCATTTCGGTACATTCTGGGTGTGCTTGCGACTACGGTCATCTTGAGTCTCGTGCAGACAGAGATCATAACTTCGGGCCGGAAAGAGGCTCAGAAAAGATTACGGAAACATGGCGCGATTCTAGATTTGTGAACGGGGCTTACAGCCGAACCAGACTTATTAGTGCATATGAGAAGTATGGGCCTGTTGCTAAATCAATTCAGGGATGTAGAGTCTCAGTCGCACAGACCTTGTATATGCGTAACTAGCAGCTCAGAGACATAGCTGCTGCCAGTCTGCTCATTGCGAGCTTTTCTTAGCAAAATTGGTCTCCGTTTGCACGGATTGGCCGCGCAAGCTAGAAGAGTGCACACTCTCGCTCACAACGAAAGTAAGAAACAGAGTAGAGTTGAGGGATTGGGGTTTGGGCAGTACCATCATGCGAAGGTGAGAAGAGGCAGCAATGTTTCAGGACTTGAGTGGGGATTGCAGCGCTGCAACACAACAACTGCAGCCTCCAAAGCAAGCATGTCAAGACACTTCCCGACATCGTGCTGAAGCTTACAGTAAGCCACGAGAGCCAACACCTAACTGAACCCGACACTGCCATACACCCTAAAATGCCCTAAACCCGTTCGATGGTGACACTGCTAGCGGCATGCGGGATGCTTTTCTCTGCCTCGGCTCGCTAAACTCTGTCACCAAGCCAAGGCCACACCCCCGACTTTGTCTGCTTGTTTCTGAAAGCTTTGCGTATGGAGTGAGGTGTAACCGCTATGCAAATGTCTAACATGGTTGTGTCACTACGTTGCTGGCTGCAACGAATCACATGAGAGTTTATAGAATGAAGCATTAATTAACAATGCAGCTTGATGCAATCCCGTAACAGCTTGAGAAGTGCTTGCCAGAATGAAACTCAACATTTCGGATCTGTAAAAACTCTGCGATAGCGATTGGGAAAACAAAGCTCTGGCAACAACTCTTAACACTCGCGATGTTTACCTGATCTGCTGCAAATATTTTTTGGTGGCCGCCTAAACTTATGCAAGTCATAAACATCATGTCTCATGTGCATCTGCATGCGTATGTGTACGAGTATGAGTATGTGTCCGCGGATCAGTATGTGCATGTGTATGTATGCATGCATGCACGTCTGTATAGGGACACTAATGTGAAATGCTCAGCGAGCATAGCCAACAAGAACAATTGTGCAGGATAATCTACGGGAAGTAGCATACCAAGCAGCCCTTAATGCCAGACCCCTGCACCAACCCTAAGCTAAAACACAAATGAAAGGATATACTAAAGACCACCCCAGCCCTGTCGAGGGACAACGTCTGAGGGTCCAGGGTTTAAAGGTATTAAGGCTTAGGCCCGTAGAGGTCAGGGCTGAACAAATGCTGCGCTGTTGAATTATGCCGCTTGGAGACTGGAGATTTATAGGGTCTTGGAGCTTTTGAATTCAGGGGAGCAGACAAGCACGCAAAGAAGAACGGACGTGGCCCTACTTTGGAGCGCGGCCGTCATCCAGGCCCGTCACGAACGCTGGCAACGAGTCCCAAGACGGCCTTGATGCGTGCATGCATATGGGTGTATAATCGAGAATATGAATTTGAATTTGCAGGGTTCTTTGATGAAGGATTCGAGGCTATATTGGGCGCCTTTCTTTTTGAAGATGCATGTATGTGTATGTGTATGTGTATGTGTATGTGTATGTGTATGTGTATGTGTATGTGTATGTGTATGTGTATGTGTATGTGTATGTGTATGTGTATGTGTATATATATATATACACACACATACATTCTGTGCATATGCATATGTATACACATCTGTATGCACACGTCATAAACAAATACAGGGGTCTGGACTTAGGGGCTTTCGGGCCCGGGCTTGGAGGGTTTCGGGCTTTGGAGGCTTCGGGGGTTTATGGCTAGGATACCGGCAGAGATGTCCACTCAGTACGGTCTGTGGTCTGCTCCTTGCAGGACGGGAATTCACCACGCCGACTGAACGGATGAAGAAGCTGATTCGTTTTGGTAACGATTGACGAAACGAGTTGATGCTGCGGGTAAGGATAATGGTGAAGCGAACGGTGTTCTACGTTGTCGCAATGTATTTTGTGTGCCTGTGCCTGTCGGAGATTCTACAAGAAGGCAGCTGCAAGGCGCAACACTCAAGACCCTCAAACAGTGTACTTCTAAGCACTACCCGTATAAAACCCCATAAAGCAGTTAGAAGCGACAAGAAAGAAAATCTGGGGCTCCCCGCGGTGCTTCGCAGGTGAATCCGAAGCGTGTGTTCTCTGCCGGGTTGCCGAGGCACTCTTTGTAGCCCATGGCGCCTCGATCTCGCGCAGACCGGGGTGTTTTGGGGAATCAGGGGTTTTAGGGCTTTTGTGTTCAGGATGGTGTAGGGTGTATGGGGTTTATAGGGTTCAGGGTGTTAGGGTGACCCTCCAGGCCTTTTGGCTTCAATTTCTAGGATGACAACCCTAAAGCCTAATGCAACGCCACGCCGCGGAGCCCAACTGATGTGTCTATTTCGCTGCCTTTGGTGCTACCTAGAACCCTGCTTGAGGAAGAGAAGCTGAACAAATGGCAATGCTGCAAGGCTACTTCTGAAAATGCGAAACACCGCACTGCTAACTGCAATAAGGAGAGACAGCTGCAATGCTGACACGAGTATCAAGCATCTGCCGCAAGGGCAGAAGAAGAAACAACAAGAAGTTCTCCGTTACAGCTTGAAAAAGAAAACATATATAGCAGTTTCTTCACTACATGAACAAAGGTACATTACCAGATCGCTTACCTCTGTCGGGATCTCGGGCCCGAGCCCCGTGGAAGCGAAAAGTTCTCTGCAACTGCCTTCGCAGTCATGTTCCAAGACCTGAGGGAGCAGAAAACAGGGTGACGGGTTGAATTCCTGGTTTGGGAAGTTTAGGGTTTAGGGTTTGCGCAACTTGGCGTTGGGAAATGTAGATTCTCGGGAGATATATGGTTTAGAAGTTTAGGGTTCAGGTTGCAGGTCTTAGGCCCCTCAACCGTATTCCTAAGCGAAACTCCCGGCCCTTAACCGAAATTTTCCAATACATTCCAATACCAAACCTAAAACCCTAACCCGAAGACGGAACATAAACTTCCTAGACCAAACCGCAATACGTAATCGCAGCTGGCCTAAGCCCAACTCCACTCAAACCTCCAAAACCAAACACAACAGCCCGACGCCCCAATTACCTAGAGCAAACCCCAAATCCCGAACCCCGAACTTTGAAACCAACCCAATGGAAACCTTCCCAAATCCCAAAACGCTGACGAAGCTGAGATCAGAAGCCTCACTGATACGCCTCCTTCGAAAGAACCCAATATAAGGATCCATCGAGCAACCAGTTGCATTTTTCTCCCGATCCGAGGAGAAGGCATTTTCTTGTGGCTGGGTTGTCTCAAACCGGCATACCTCACGCCAGCATTCATCTGCGGTCTTCATCTCCCTACGTGCCCGGTCTTCTACACGAATGGAACATAGCGCATGAACCTCATCAATCGTAGGCGCGTCCCTGCCTCAGCCATATGACCTGATCGTAGTTGGCATCGTCCCAACCTTGAGGATTCTGCTTGGTCTAAAATAGTTTCAAACTTGGGGTGAGTGCCAAGACTTGCCAAGACTTCATGTCCTCTTCTGCTGCTCGCATTTCGGAAACATGCCGCTAACGTCACTAGTGTCACCATGGTTGCCCTGGATAGCCCTCCTGCACAATCGTGACTACTACGACCACAACCATCACGATGACGCCGGCATCACACAGAGCCTCCACACAGCAATCAAAACAAAAATCACTGCCAACTCCGACTGCTACTGCCACCTCCACAACCACTGCTGCTTGTTAGTTTGGCGACTATTACCACAGCTACGACGCTAAGACTACGACGACTGCCGCAAAAACGGCGACGACTTCCACTGCTGGTGGGCGTCGCTGCTGCTCCTACATACTACCACCACCGCCACCTGCGACCACCACCATTGCCACCACCGCCACCACTACTAAGTGCTGACGCTACCACGACCTCGACTGCTGCTAGCTCTTGCTGCTGCCCCTAGCTACTACCACCCTGCTACCACCACCACTGCTGCGACTGCTACGACTACCACTACGAGTTCGCTTGCTGGAGATATTCTTGTTGCACCTACGACCACCGAACCAATCGACTACTAATCACATACCAGCACTACGTACGATGACGACAACGTCGGCAACGACGACTGCTACTTGCTACTGCTACTGCTCCTGCGACTGCTACTGCGACTGCTACTGCTACTAGCTGCTACTGCTCCTGCTGCTGCTCCTGCTGCTGCTGCTCCTGCTGCTGCTCCTGCTGCTGCTCCTGCTGCTCTTGCTGCTCCTACTGCTCCTCTTTCTGCTCCGACTGCTGCTCCTACTCCTGCTCCTACTCGTGCTCCTGCTGCTGATCCTGATCCTACTCCTATAACGCCTATGCCTACGCCACCTACGCCTACGCCTGCTACTGCTACTGCTGCGACTGCGGCTTTCTTGCGATCAGAGATTGCCATGAATGCTCGGCAAGGCACAAGAACGACAGATCTGATCATCACAGCCCAACGCCTCACCCAAAGCTCGGCGCAGTCTTGGGTTTCTGGGTCTCTTGCACATCGGGCTTTGGGCTTGAGGATCCGGAGCTTGTTCAGAGTCTCTGGAAAAAGAAAGTCCTGTCTGCCTTTCATGTAACCCGTAGAGTGTTGACCTTGAACCGGATGTTGAACCAGGACATCTTTTCGGAGGGCCTTCCGCTGATGGCTTCAAGGTCTTCCTTTCTTGCGGCTTGCCTGAAATTTTTGGTCATTACATACCTTCATGCCGCTATAGCTGCATAGCTTCCAAGTCCGAAATGCAACTTCGAGCATAGGTGCTACCGAATGATTCGTATGGGCGCGACTTCAAGCACTGTTACACCAAAAGACTATAGAATGACTTCCACCATTTGTGAAACATGTGCATGCCCACTGAAAGTGTTACGAGTATGAACAACCTCCGACACAGAAGTCTTGATGCTTGAACCTGCAACCCCAACCCCGAAACCGAAATCCGGAACCCTCGACTTGAAACCCCTCCGAAAGCCTAACTGCAGTAATAGAAAGGGCCCTCCCTACTTTGGAAAACATATTCTCCATACTTTGGAAGAAAATTGTCTGTCATAACGAGTTTCGAGACTCACAAAGCCTTGTAAAGCCCAGCAGACTCCTGAGCACTTCGAGGTATGTAGTGTTTAAGGTATATAGAGTCTGAACTGCAGTATCGTTATGGGTTGACTAACTGACTGGTCGTGCTGCTACAGAAAGGAAATGCGACGTTTGATATGCACCAAGCAAACCTCTGACTCTGGATCTAATTTGAGGGTCGAGGTAGGTACGCTAAGCCCTCAGACCCAAACCGTAAGTATTGTTTTTTGGGTGCCGGCCGACACCCGACCCCCCCCCCCCCCCCCCCCCCGGCCTGTGCGAGTGTTGGGATGGTGCAATGATCCCATGACACAAGGACCTCCGGCCGAAAAATCAAGCTTTGAGCTCGGCGACAACCCTCAATCAAATCCGATAGTAGAAATTTCAGATTGGCTTTCAAACCTCCCAACGCCCCTCGCACTGACACCTAACCACTAAAACTACAAAAACCAATAACTCAACCCTTAAACCGTGCATAAGGATTAAGCCCCCACTGTATTAAAGACCCCGTAATTATAACAACACATTGGGGCCAATCCTTCCGAAATCACCCCTGCCCTTTAAAACCTAATTTGCACTAGGGGGGTCCGGAGCAAGAGCAAGCGAAAGCTGGAGTGAAAGCGACAGCAAGAACCATTTAAAACTGACAGTAAAGATAAACGTACCCTCTAATAATTGAAACACTTGCTGAGTTTCTATTGGGGGGAGGGGGCCCCCCCACCGACGTTAAATATTAGGCGGGAAGGGATCAGGGTGTAGGGAGTTAAAGGTTGCCAGCACGGGTCTCTAAATTTTCGGGTTCTATAAGGGTTCTCCTCCGCTCCACTCTGCAAAGTCCAGCACAGTTCCGATGCTGTGGCAAAACCACGAGCCTTGAATTCCTTCTGAACACGTTCTGCCAAGCCCACGTTCTTGATCAGATCCTCGAACTGTTCTCGCAATCCATTGCGCAAGCACAAGCAAAAGTCACCAACCGTCAAGTGACCACCAACGGCAAAGAAGCACACAGCTTTCACAGCGCCGGTGGCAAAGTGGCCCCAGGCATCACCCGACGTGCAACAACAAGCCGACACCATCGTATGCCCACAAGCCCAGCAACCTAGCTGCACAGCTGGATGACCCACGTCATCACTGATCTCCTTCGAGATCGCGACCTTCGCCAACGTCACATAGCAGACACTCGCCTGCGCCCGGAGCAGTCTCTGTTGCGACCTCGCGCAAACTCTCGCACAACCCACGCCCCGGCTCGTTTGCACTTTGCGCCCAAGAGCGGTCCACAGCTGCATGGCTATACAAGGCGCAGAAGCCCCCACATGAAAGGAGTTTTCGTCCCACACCTCCGAGTGCCTCTGCAACCGACTGCAAAAGAGAACATGCTTGCCGAAGCGATCTGCAAAGCTCTACCAACTGAGAAACGAAACACTATGTTCGCCACTGGAATCAATCGCCGCAACATCGCTCCGCCCTCCGCCCCTCGTCACCGGCCGAACTAGAGGACTCGATGCCAGCCGACGAGACCGCTTGCGACATCATCCGAGGCACCAACATCCAGACCTAAGGGGGCAGGTCGCAGCTCCGGGCGCTGAGCATGGCTGGCCACTGCGAGCTGCTCCCTCAACCCAGGAAGTACAGCATCACGTCCGCGTGCCCGATGATGACCCCACAAGTGCGACCCCACAAGTGACGAGCACGCCCAACGACATCGAGCTGCAAATCCCAGCGCTTTCAAACGATGCAAAGTGCAACGGCATGCCAATTGCTCAGACACCGCGCCCAAGTGCACCAGTAAGCGTCTCAGCTGACAAAGGTGAACGAGGCAGCATCTCCAAGCCTGTATTTCAGCAGTTTCACGGCCTCCGTCCGGTCATCGTAGATGCCCCCGGCATCACCCATAACCAACTGTGGCCTTAGCCGCGCCGGAGCAAATCCCTTGATCGCGTATGGCTCCACCGCTTCCACTTGCAGCCTTGGCCTACTTGGCCCGAGATGTAGGTGGGAGCGACAGTGAGGGATGCTGTTCCTGCCTGCCCCCAACCAACCGCGAACACCAGTACAGAAGGATTGGGGGTTTAGGGAAAATTAGGAAGATTATGCCCGTTCGGCGTCTGGGCAGTTTTTGGAGTAGACCTTCTCTTCGGGGAGTATGCTTTGGAACGGGGGTTTGGGGCATCGGGTTTTTGGATGAGGTTCTGGGGAAGAGGATTTAGGATGCATGTGGTTTCAGGGATTGGGAGATTAGGAAATAGGGTCGCGATGCTAAATTGTTGGCAATAAATGACGCAAGTAATGTCGTTGCTGTTGCAGGTCTTGCCGGTGCTCATGTATTGTTCCTTTACCTTACTCGAACAAACTACGTTGCATTGTTGTTACTACACGCAAAAAACTGCTTCTACGCTTGCACGTGCGCTACCGTAGCATCAACAGCCCACGTCCTAAGCACTGGCTGGGACCGGCTAGGCTTCGATCGAGCACCGTTCTGGTCATGGTCGGTCGTGTCAAAGGGTCTTCGGGCCCGTAGGTTTCAGGGTTTGTAGGAAGCCCTCAACCACAAAGCAAAGAGGCTCGGAGGGGGTGCCCGGAACGCCTCAACCCAATAGAATCGCCGGCCACGCTCGAAATGCTGGGGAGAGCACAGTCTGTTCTGTCCTACCCGATGGGCAGCCGGCCTGGTGAGGAGTCTCCAAAGCCTAAAGGCCCTCCCTGAAAACCAAAAGCCCTTAAGACTGGACAGCGCAAAGCTAATCTGCCAAAACCTTGAACTGAACATCAACACCCTTTGACCCTCGACTACAACGGCGCAGCACCCCTACAACCTGAAAGCCAACAGCTGGAAATATTAGATCCAATACCTGCATGTCTTGATGCTAAAGCCTGAGATCTCTGGCATCGTTGGTATATGCAAAGCTTGAGATAGGAGTCTACGGTTCGTAGTTAGTAGGCCTGTGGATGCCTTCAATACGCTCCTCGTCTCCATCTTACTTATATATATATATATATATATGCGGAGACGCCGAAATGAAAGCCGCCAAGGAAACGAACTTGCAAGAGCCTTGAGCATGTGAACAAGAGGCTCAGGAGGATGACGGTGGTCGCAAGGATGGGGATGCCGAATACTACGGCAACAGAGATGACGACAATGAGACCAGGTATCTGAGATCTGAAAGCGGATCCCGACCGCAGCCAATTTTGGAGCGATTTGAAGCTTCCGGACTGTAACAACTGCAGAAAGAAAAGAATAATCCTAGTTTACTTGGACACTGAGGCTTCGTCGTACAAAAGTTGTTACGCCTCAGTGCTGGGTAAGCCGTGCTAGTGCCTGCAGAAGTTCGTTGCTTCACATCCGATAGCCCTCTCGAATCTTGAGAGCTCCGTAAACGCAGTCATCTATGAAGTTTTATGAAACCCCTATAAATGCCGACAAATGACCCTCGTCGGACCCTTGTCTTCACGAAACATGCAGCTCTTTTAAGTTGCCAAAGCTCCGCCTCGCGCCCCTCGTGAAGAGCGCGGACGAGCTCCAGCGGGTCCTCCTGCGGCATGATGCTGTATGTTGAGGATTTCTTCGTCTAAACCACCCACTCGCCCCCCGCCCGCCCCCGCCAAACTAAAAGAGCTTTAAAGACAAAGGACACTGGGACACCCCGGGAGGTCGAAGCAGCTCCTGCTTGAAAGTGGTATTCACCACGAGCTGCAGCCGCTGGGCCAGCGGCCAAAGGAGGTACCTTGCTTGGTTCCACAGAGGGTCTGCCCGAAGGGTCTGGGGTTTAGAGTCTGCCCAGGGACTCCATACATAGAATGTCCCGAAATACAAGCCTTAATACTTACTCTGATTACGGGGACCTCGGTCCAAACACCTTACAAAATGAAACAAAGCTCTAGAGGTTCAGGGGGTGATACTGGGCTTATGGCGTGTAGGATGGTTTAGTCTTATGTGCATTGGATGTTGATGCTTTGCAAAAAGGGGCTTCGAGGGTTTGGGGCTCAAGGGTTCAAGTTTTTGGAGGCTTGCGGGGCTTATCAACACGTTCGACTCCAGGGGCTTTCAATCATTATGTAAGTCTTATAAGGCTTCTTGGCTTTAGGGATTTGGGTTTTAGGGAGCAGCTTCGGGTATCGGCTTCAGGGTTCAGGTTTCAGAATTTAGGGTCTCGGATAGATGCATGTCTGTAGGTGTGAACGGCTCTCGGAAAGATTACAGGCATTTACAAAAGTTTGCGCAGCCTCTCACAGTTAGGTTTTGTTCGATTCTTTTTCTGCGGAAGGATTTCCCGAGAATCCTACACTTGGTTTAAGGCCTCAAGTTTGGCACGTAGGGTTGTATGGTTCAGGGCCTCTGCCTGTTGACGCAGATGCTAAATGAAATCCAAGCCCCACATCCTAAAGTGCAGCAGCTTCTTGGAGAAGGGACGCTTAACAAGCTCGGAACTCTGAGTGACGCTGAACGTTACACCCCAATGCCGAAGATTTCCTGGGATACTCAAGTTCACTTCTCGTCTAAGGCCATCAATCCAGCAACGACAACATCCCTCAGACCCTGAATCCCATAGGTACTTAAGCTAACCACAAGGCTCTGAAACCCCCAAACCTTGAACTTCAAATAGTCCAAATCACTATAAGAACTCAGTGAAAAACTTGGTTACGGCGCCTGTACGCGCCTATGCGTTTTTAGCGATTTCAGAATGAGGCGCTTTGCATGGATGCGCGCGAAACCACAGCCAGAGCGCAATCTCACAGAAAATTATGGTTCAGGCAGGTGCGCGAAACACTAGAGGCTGAAGTAAACTTTGGGCCTAACTGCGTTTTCGCTCGGGTGTTAAGCTTATTTTTGAAGAAGCTTCAAAACATAACTTTATTTTAGAGAGAGTTTGCTTAAAGTATTGACTTGTCTTAGGTCTTAGGTTAGACTTAGGTTAAGGATTGGGTTTATGTTTGGTTGTACAAAGAAGCGAAAACGCTGCAAATACCAGTGTTTTGGGCATGGGCGCAATATGAATGACGTTCTTATCCCCCCCCCTCAAAACCCCCCCCCACACCCCCCCCCCACCCCTGCCCCACCCCTCCCCCACCCCCCCACCCCCCCCACCCCAATACCCTGAAACCTGCCCTGCAAAAACGCATAGGCGCGTACAGGAGCCGTCACCAAAAACTTGTAAACGCCCTAAAGCCTAGAAGATCTGGGCTTAGAAGCCGATAGGATATTTCAAGCATCTCATGGAAAAGCCCTGTATCTCCCTGTAGAAAACTTCAAAACATCTACAAGCGGGATCCGAGGCTCCGGCAAATCTCTGCTGCTATAGACACCGGGTTCTAGATGCCGCGCGAAGAGCCTTCCAGGAAGGAGCCATGGAAGCACAGCTAGGATTTGGGGGTGGGTTCAAGGTTCGGGGCATAGCTATGCGATAGGCCACATGCATGCATGCAGCCATCTGTATGCGTGTGTGTGTGTACGTGTCTACATATATATGTATATATATACACACACATACATACGTGTATAGTATATACGTAAATACGCAAAAATGCATAGACGTATATGGTGTGTGTGTGTGTAGATGTGTATAGAGGTGTCTGTATACATGTAGGTATATACGACCATGTACCTAGATGTAGGGACAAGTATGTATATTCGCATTTGCGGCGACATTGCTACATGCTCGCTCGAGTGCACGAAAATGCATAGAGGCAAAATCTTGACAACTCTGAACGAAACAACCCGCTCAGGGTGCAAGCCACTCGAGCTGATGCAGGCCTGTCCGGAATTGGATACTTGCCACCTGGACCAAAGATCGCGCCCATATGTTCCTGGCAGGCAGGCGAAAGCGTTGCCGCTTCGCATCTGTATGTCGTGAACAAGCCGTGATGCCAATGGCATTCTACACCGTTACTCTCTGCCTTCGCTGCCTCTCCCTTTCTCCTTTTGTCTGCGCTTCTTTCTCGCAGCGGCTTTCCGACTCTCTCTCTCTCTCTCTCTCTCTCTCTCTCTCTCTCCAATGCCTGAATTCAAACGCCAGGCCTTTCAGCGAAAAATCACAAACCCCGAACTTCAAAGCCAAGCCCTGCGAGCTTTGACATGCCCGGGTGGCTCCACGAAGCAAGCCCCTCTCTGTGCACAGCTGCATCCGTGTGGGGTCCTGCAGATACAAACCACCACAGGCAGCAGGCGACAAGATCAACGCGATAGAAGCAGTGGAAATGGCAGTCGAAGAAGTAGTAGTAGTAGTAGTAGTTGCCGTAGTAGCAGCCACAAGAATAGTAGTAGCAGCAGCAGTAGCAGCAGTAGCAGCAG